GTATGTGGATGTATTATGCATGAACAGTTAGCATAATGGATGCATATCTTGCTCTTTAAAGTGGCTTCTTTGCTGATTTTTTTTTAAATAAAATACTTTGGGACCTTCACCTCTGAAATTGACACAAGAGAAAGAAATCCTAACAATAGACAATGCAGCCAAGATGCAAACAGTATCATATATCTTGCTTCTTGAAACATAAGTCTTGGAAAGTGTCTGCCTCATTCCCTTTCATTCATTGTTCCTGGCAAGCTGACAGATCCGCCTGATGCACTGTTACAGTAGCTCATCCAAACGACTTATAATCAGCCACTTAAACATGTATTCATTTCAAAACTCAATCTCAAGACATAATATTAAATATAAATACTTACTGTTTAAAGGCAGATATTCTTCTATTATACACATTCCCTTCTTTTTACACACACTCCACACACATCCCAGCCACCCTGAGAAATGTGAAAGCTATTCCAAAAGCTCAGTGAGGCTTTGCCCCCCCATACAGGAAAAAGCCCCAAACAATTATGACAAAGATCCTGAATGAGTCATAAGGGGAATGCCCTTCAATTGTAGGAGCATGACTAACGTATGAATATGGGGACTGCTTCACGAGCAAACAATCACATTTTATTTGGTTGATTCCAAAATATATAGTCTTCTATTTTTCCATACCTCAAAAAACAGATTTGAAAGTCTTGTTGACTTTCATGTGATAGGCTTTCTTACTTTTTAACATACTGCTGATAATGTCACTTAGGAACTAGGCAAAAAATAATAAAAAGTAGCACCCTTTCCATAATCTCCACTTACCCTGACATTAAAAAAAAACTGAACGTTTTACATTATAATCCAACCCCATACAACTTACTCGTACCCTATATAATATTTTGATAATTTTGGTTGATAAAAGGTGATAAGTAAATAAGAAATACAGAGATGTTTTATGACAAAGAAGTAAACAATTCTGCTTGAGAAAAAGTTGGAGAAGACTTTAAAAAAAAAAAAAAAGGGACATTTAAGCCAAGCATTAACAGCTAATAAGAGTTTGTCACATGGTCTAGGATCATTATCTTTTTGTCCCTTTCCCATCCCACCCCCAAACCCCAGACATTCACTTACAACAGTATAATTTATCATTTGTCCATGTGCCCATGTCCCTCATTAGAGTGGTTTTACTCAAGAGCGGGACCTTCGTATGTTTTTCTTTGTACTCCAGTACTCAGAAGGCATTCAACAGTCTTGCCTTAAAAAAGCTTTCCTTATAAATTCAAACAGACTTTGATTCCATCCTCAAAGACAATGAGAAAAACCAGAAAATGATCAACATTACATTTTTCTTAAATAGGGATAACTGCAAAGGAAAAGATCATTGACACATTGGCCCACCCTTCCAAGTCTACTCTTCCCCTTGGCACACCTATATCAGAATCTGCATGCACACACACTCACACACCTGATGTTTCTGACGTCAGACTGATGTGATATTTAACTTTCGGTTTTTAAGTTCAAACCTACAGATGGTCGGGTGCCTGGGTGGCTCAGTTGGTTAAGCGACTGCCTTCGGCTCAGGTCATGATCCCCGGAGTCCCGGGATCGAGTCCCACGTCGGGCTCCCTGATTGGCGGGGAGTCTGCTTCTCCCTCTATCCCTACCCCCTCTTGCGCTCTCTCTCTCACTCTCTCTCTCTCTCTCAAATAAATAAATAAATAAATAAATAAATAAATAAATAAAAATCTTAAAAAAAAAAAAAACCTACAGATGGTCAAGACAAGTCCTGAGTCTGATAATCTGCTATGGAAAATTCATGAGCTAACAACAAAGAACGAAGAATAATACGAAGACCTTGGTGGAAAAAGTCAATCAGCTCCCATGAGTTTACCCGCTTCAAAAGGAACATTTGCGGCCAGAAGACCCGTGTATGAATCTCGACTCTGTGAAGCCCCGAGGTTCTGTTCTCTGTGCACTAGAGCCGACACAGGGCTGTCTGGAGCATCAGAAGAGGAACGTAAGTGAGTGTGTGTGACCCATGGCAGCTTCTTAATAATAAACACAGCCCCTTAAGCATAAACTCATGTCCTACCACTGGTCCCAACAGAGGAGATTCCAAAGAGAGCATCAAAAGCTCTTATCCAAAGAAATCAAACCCTTTGTCTCTTCTCATTGATAGGTTCATCATCTAGCAACAAAGACAGACTTAATGTGGACACGTAGAAGGGAGAGAGAACGTGCAGTGAATTTATTCTGGTCCCTTCCACTCGTGCAAAATTCCCCCAGATCAAATTAACTATGGCAAAAGGACTTCCACTTTAGATTCACTTTAGATCCTGACTAACTTTAAACTCTGGTTTGGGGCTACAAGGGAAGGATGGCCATGTATATTGCGGATATGGCCTGGACAAAGCTCACTCGGCCAGGCACAAGAAAGTGCTTTGCCAGAGGAAATAGTGTTCTCCATTTACTACCTCGAGAACTAAAGATGGATGCTTTTACTCATTCTATGCTGTATAAAAGGCTTTTATTATATACTTCCATCCTTTGTAATATAGCCCCCATCCCCATTTTTGGGAAAAAATCTGCAATAGTAAGCCTGTTAGTCCTTTAACAGAAGATAAACAGAATGCAGTGAACTTAAAACCACTCTTTTTTGTTTTACCCAACCACAGCATTCCATACTGCATTCATTTCTTTTCTTCCCATTTCTGTTAAGTTATTTTTAAAGAATTAGCACAGAAAAAGGTCAGTAATGCATACAGATGTTACCGAAGTATTAGGTCATATTCCATATAGAGAAACATGCAAATAGTTAATGTGCAAAACTAATTTATAGTCCTCCTTTTACCAAATGCATTTTACCTATAATTCCACCTGTGTAACAGATGGTTCACTTAAAAACCTCACTGCAGGGCGCCTGGGTGGCTCAGTTGGTTAAGCGACTGCCTTCGGCTCAGGTCATGATCCTGGAGTCCCGGGATCGAGTCCCACATCGGGCTCCCTGCTCAGCGAGGAGCCTGCTTCTCCCTCTCCTGCTCCCCCCTCTTGTGCTCTTTCTCTCTCTCACTCTCTCTCTCAAATAAATAAATAAAATCTTTAAAAAAAAAAACTCACTGCAGAAAGTGGCTCTCAGTTAAATAATCATCAACACCACCAGCAACGGATGTTTATAGAACAAACATGACTCTGTGAAGCCCCGAGGTTCTGTTCTCTGTGCACTATTTTTAGGGCAATGTGAGATCTATATGTAAGGAAGGATTAGAGGAGGAGAAGAAAGAAAAAAATTTTACTCTTCTGCCTCTCATGTTTCTCATTTTCTTCTATATCCTTCCTTCTCCATCACATGAAGACACTTGTTTGCTTTCTCCACTTGTCTTCTGGGTTAAGTCAAAGAGTTCTCCTGAATTAACCCTTCCAACTTGTCTTGCTCTTTCCTCCTAAGCCAGGACACCTACAGAAAAGACTCAACTGGTAACTTCTTGGCTCTCTTTCCTAGAGCTGGAAGATGGTTGTGCATCTGGGCAAAGAGGCTCAAGCTACCTGGTCTGATCATCCCCCACTGGGTCCACTCTTGAGATTATGGGGCATCAGGGAACCAGGATCTAAGCACAAACTCCCCGCCTGTTGGCATCCTCAGGACATCTATGATTTGGGGTCATTACTATGTTAGAATTAGGAATCTTGTCAAACTATCTTTCTGGGACTTTCTTACCACATTAGAGATGCATGCACCAACCACTTTCTATCACAGAGATCTTCATCACCCTCACCTACCTACCATTCCCTAAATCACCTGATGGAAAGAAGAGAAGAAACGATTTCACAGAACATCAAAGATTTATTTGCAGATGAGCAAAGGAGCCTTAAAACTGGGTGAAAAATAATGGTCTCAAAATCCATTTTTATATGAACTAGAGTTCATACCATTAATATCACCAACCACGTTACAGCTAATATAGGCAGCCAATTAATATGAGTGAAAAACTTAAATATGATGTTTAAGAACCCAATAAATGGTCTCAAATATGCCAACGGTTTTACAAATATTCGGCCCACTGCCCACTTTCATTACAGATCTTACTCTCAAATTTTAAACACAAGGTCTCATAATTTATAGCCATGATGACCATCTGCTTCAATAACTACGAAGGACATATTTTATTAATTTTCGGCCAAGGACATTAAGTTTTGAAATATTTAGTCTATCAAGGTAATTTCTAAACACAAATTTTGTTTCTATCTAAAAGCAATAATGGACAGCTCTGCTCTCTCTCTCTCTCTGTCTCCTACTTCTCAGTTCAATTGAGCACTCTCTTCTTTTTTTAACTTAGACCCCCCTTCTGCCCCTCCCTGAATTTGCAGGTGCGGGGAATAAAGATACATAAACAAATATTCACAAATCTTGGATGGACATGTGCAGAGACAAAAAGGTAAGTAGTTTAAAAAGGTAAGTAGAATTCAATGATTTCAGTCTAAAAATAAAACTGCCAGGGCCCCCGAAAACATGCACCAGGCGTTACCATCTTCGTAGTGGGTGATTTTCAACCTCCAGTATATTATTCATATACTTAAGAGGACGTGAGCATAAAAAAGGTTTATGAAAGAAGATGGGCTAAACACCAATGACTAATGCCAAAGAGTTCTCTCCAGAATCTACTCTGTCTTAAGCCCCAAAGATAAGTGTCTTCCCTTCAATTCCATCACTAGAGTCCCAAATCTGGTTGTCAGGGGAAAAGTACAATTCTTGGGGGCTTGAGTTGCTTGGCCTGGTGCCTTGCTGCACATTTAGCTGAGTAGTTAATCTCCCAGAGCAGCGCCACTGTGGCATGCCTGCTATTCTTTACCATCTGGAGCCTGGAGTTGATATTAGCTTGAACCACACATGCAGGAGAAAAGAAAAAAGAAAAAAACTCTCATTCGCATTTAACTGAAATTGGTGGCAGAACAATGCACCATGCCGTCCAGGCTTTCACACATCTAAGAAAGGAAAGAAAGGGTAAAGTACAAACCTTCTCCTTTGTTTTCTGGTTCTCTGCTCTGAGGTCTTCATATTCGCCTATGGCTAAAAGAAAAAAAAAAAGGAAAGCAACGTTATAATACCATCAAAAGTTTACTGTAGGAAAACCCGGGATCCAACTCATCTCTATTGTCTCTTTAGTATGTTGGTGATGGGGGAGAGAAAAGACCACAGAAGAAGGGCTTCTGCTTTTAAGAGTAAGAAAGAAAAAGAGACCACAGCCGGTGTGAGCCCACCAAGCTAAATTTCTAATTCTCCCAAGGTCACAGAAAGACCTCGGAGCCATAAGTGACCTATGACAAATCACTTCTCTTTGGTGCTCAGCACTTGGGTCCCGTGAAAGGAGACAGGCGGATGCTCCCTGAAGTTCCTTCTAGCACCATTAAGTCTGTGGTGCTATAATCAGAGGTTTATTTTTAAAATCAGCCTCCAGAAAACAATGCCAGCTTACACATTCGGTTCGGTGTCACACATCTGCTTTATCCACAGAGCAAAAGGTTTACACTGTGAGCATTCAGCTAAGAACAACTATTTTCAGGCATTGCAAGATCATCTACCACCAAGCCATGACCAGATACCAGCCAGATTCATTTCACTTAGTTGGAAAAATACGTGAACCGTCTGGAAATATTTCCAACTATGTGAAAAAAACAGCAACTTATTATTTAAAACCCTCTATCGCCAGACAAATAAAGTAGCCTGAACACCCATATCCGTCTCTTAGCCAAAGCACCACGATAGCCTCACGGTTCAGAATACGATGTTTCCAGCATGTGATGGGAAGACAGAGCATGATCCAGCATTAAGGACAGAGCAGAATGCGTAAGGTGGGCCTACTCCCGGACCAGCACCTTGACTGGCACCACCGAGCCAGGCCGTTATCAGACTGGGTTTTTATACTTGTACCTATGAAAAAAATGTAATTGGGATTTATCTACAAAAAGCTCAGTTTTTTCCTTAAAAAAAGAAAAGACAAGTAGAGTTTCCTATTTCCATCAATAAGCAGGTGATAGAAAAGAAGAAACTAAAACCAGTGACTTCAAGAACATCCCAGATCATCTGGTTATTAATTCTAGAAGTGGGGGATTCTAACCACTGGAACAGAGAAAAACCCAAAAACAAACGATGCACATGGTGAAGTACATCGTTTATGTCCTCCAACAGTGATCCAAAGGCTTTAGAATAGCTATGGTGATTGTAGAACCACACCTTTTTTTTTTTTTTAAGATTTTATTTATTTATTTGAGAGAGAGAATGAGAGACAGAGCGCACGAGAGGGAAGAGGGTCAGACGGAGAAGCAGACCCCAAGCTGAGCAGGGAGCCCGATGCGGGACTCGATCCCGGGACTCCAGGATCATGACCTGAGCCGGAGGCAGTCGCTTAACCGACTGAGCCACCCAGGCGCCCCTAACCACAACTTTTAAATCCAACCAAATGAACAAGCATTTATGGGATTACACCACCAATGCCCATAGGTTTTACTGGCACTCTCTGACCATCTACGTAAGAGTTAATGGACAATTTTGTTGAAGGCACACCCAAAAAGAATTCCTGAAAATGCGACAGCCAATAAAACAGCTGAATGTATATAGGTAAAGATAGAGCCTTTTTAAAAATAATTACATTTTCAACAGAAAACATTTGAGTGACCACAGGATGAAGTCTTATACACACCAGCTCCTCATCAGCCACCACCACACAAAGCCCAACGAATGGGTATAAAGCAAATTGTCCTTGGTTATGAAAAATCAATAAAATGACCCCCTTTTTTAACAGAAAGAAATAAAACTAAGAGATTCTAAAAATATACACTTACGCACTGGGTAGTCTACGGTCATGGTCCTAAGTCTTATCACTATATCTAATATTCTTTCAAAATATAAATATATATTTTACTGAGAGACTTTAGTTTACTTGACATTTGAAAGTATCTGTAGATGAAGTTGAAAAATCAAGATTGATTTACCACTCTATTCTTGATGACCTACTTTACAGATGAACAAACAAACAATAAAGGCTTATAAAACCATGATCTCATAATGACATTAAGAAAATGTTTTTCTATTTAAAACATTAGATAACACCTTTGAAGCTTTTTAAAAATACCGATACTATTCTTCCATTATGTTGCCAATAGAATCCAGATGAAACATTGCAGACTCTCAACTATAGGGTCTTCATGAAAAGCATTAATTAAGAACCCTTCACCTATCGTGCCTTAATGGAAACCACAGACAATGTGCTTTCTTGTGACTCTGTGCAACTTAAAAAAATAAAGCCAGGTAAAGGGAATGGAGAGGAAAAGTATGGGAAAAGTATGGGCAGAATTCCCAGTGGGAAGGGAGCACCTGGGGAACAGGGCATAAATGGAAAGAAAAACATGTATTTATATTTTTTTCATTGAAATTAGAAAACCAAACTCGCTGTCCTAAACAAGATTTACACACACATACACACACACACACCCCATAGTGAATACACATGTAACCCCATCCTCAGCAAAACTGGCAAAAACTGAAGTAACCTATAGTATTCAGCTACTTCTTTTTTGGCAATGCTAAAGGGTCACAGAGAAAGCCTTCTTTTTGTTTCAGAACTGGCTCAGAGTTTGGAAATTTTTTAAGTGAGTCACACAACTCAAGTGATTGGATGATACAGATCCTCCAAACCTTGAAGTAACCAATGCAAAAGTAAAGATGAACTGGACGAACGCTCTGCCACATGAAAGATACCCAGGGCTTGGGAAGACTTCATCTCCTGGGTTTCAGGTACAGTGGATTTCAATATACGGTAAGGTCACATCGCACAGTAATTAAAAAGTGCAGCCAAGGGACTTTGGTCTAGTTGGTTAACCTCTCTAAATCGCAGATTCCTCCTCTGGAAAATAAGAATGAGAATTATACGTCTTTCACATGGTATGGTGATTAAGAGTAAGCTAACATGTAAGGTGTAAGAGTGCTTAGGTATGTTATATGTTCAGTGCATGTCAGCCATGCTTATTGTTACTGATACAGCAAAGTACATTAGATCTTGTGTGCATGGTAAGAGATCAGGCTGCTCCCTAATGCCCTCCGTACATGGCTTGAAAGCTGGCAGAGCAGAAAATCTCTGAAACCCGACTACTGCTACCCAAATAAAAGGAGAAAGGGGGCTAACAATCAGCTGTAGTGCGTTGTAGTTTAAAAAAAAAAAAAAAAAGGCAAAGAAGTGGAAGCATGTCTGGGAACTATACTTTTCAATCCTGGCTGCACATCGGAATCACCTGGGGAGCTTTTAAATCATACAGATGTCTAGCCCCCTCGCCACCCACCCCACCCCAAGTTTCTAATTTAACTAGTCTAGGGTGGACCTTGGGCACCATATTTGTTTGAGAAGTGAACACCCCAGGCGATTCTGATGTGCAGCCAGGGAGGGGAATCACTCTGTAAGAGTACAGAATGGAAGAAAAAGGGAGATGTGGAGAAAACAAGGAGAATATCAGGCAGAGCACGTGTTCCAAGAATCATGCTGGTTTTCCATTTTCCAACTCCCTAATGCCAAGAAAGGGAGCTTTCTTTCCAAGCTGCAAATCATGACATAGTCAGCCCAGAAATCAGATGAGTAGACTTGGTCGTTTCAGAAGCGTGACACTTAAAGTTCATAAACACAGGCAATAACACCTCTGGCTGGGGTGAGTCACCATCCCGGTTTGCCCGGGACTTTCCCAGTTACAGACTAGAGAAGAAGAGAGCCCAGTGTCCCTGGACACCTCCCAGTCCTGGGCAGGTTAATCACCCTATCCCAAGGGTAAGTGCCCGATCAGTACTTCCTGACCAATACCTTCTAGACCTGCACTGTCGAATACGGAGCCGCTAGCTACATGTGGCTAACCCACGTGTAAATTCATTAAAATTGAAGAAAACTTAAAATCCCGTTCCTCAGCTGCACCAGCCGTACTTCCAGGGCTCCACAGCTACGTGTGGCTAGGGGCTTCCGGAGCCCACAGCGGACAAAGAACATTTCCATCGCAGCAGGAAGTTCTGCTAGGCAGGACTATCCTGCACATCTCTATCCAGACAGCCTACAAGCACCGCAAACTCAACATGTTAGAAAGTGAATTCATCAAACTCCATTTCACCCAAACCTCCTCCTTCCCGTATGCATGATGTCCTTCTGGGGTCATCACCGACCTGGTCCTCAAGCTAGTACCTCAGGATCAGCCTTGATTCCTCTCTTTCTCCCACCTTCCAACGAATTATGAAATTGCTCCCATCTCTTAAAATGTCTCCCCAGTCTGCCCTTCCTCTATAGTATGTCTGCCCTGATTCTAATCTTCAATAATGGTAAAGTCCTCTCATGTAGCCTCTAGCCTCCCTCTATCCCAAGTTCATTCTTCACAAAAGAGATGGTGAGCATAGTAATAAGGCAACCTGGTTACATCATTCTTGTAGTCCACCAAGATGTTACTTCACAACCTGGGACACCCATCCCCACTCCTGCCATTCAGCCTTAGAGACCATCACTCAGTCCCTCATACCTCTAAGACCTTTCACACCCAGGTGCCTTTTTAAACATTTTTCCCTTCACCTCCCCATCTTCCCTACCTCCTCCTTGACAATGCAATTCAATTGTCATTTCCTGGAAGAAACCTTCCCCACATACCTAAGGCAAAAATCAACATTTATATTTCTAATATACTACCAGAGTACCCTGTTCGTCTATCTCTACTAGAGCATCAACGTGTAACATTATAAACTACCTGAGCACAAGTCTGTCTTCTTGTCTTCTCTCCCATCTGATTCATTGCTATAGATCTTATACGCAGCAGAATACGAAGCAGAGTTGGTACCTATGTTGACTGAACGGCTGGTTCATATAAATGTGTGATGTGGAGCAATTAAGCCAAATATGAACATCCCCATTTTAAAAATGAAGATACAAATACACAGAGAAGTCAAATTCCACAGTAAGAAACATTGGAGGCAGGACCAGTCTACCGATTTCCAAAGTCATTCGTGTAAAAAACATTACTGGGCATTACTATGTGCAGTGTGCTAAAACGCTG